TGTGGAGAAGACTTACAATTTATAGGTATTAAGAGGCGGTGATGTAAGAATAAAGGCACTAGAATCTCGGGAGGATATCTACAAAAGGTATGTATAATTAAGGTAGTTTTGATCTTCGAGAGTATGTATCTTGATGAGTGATGATCTCTCCCCCACATTCTCTTTTCTTCATAAACTCCTTAGATCTTGGACTAGGTCAGATTTGCGAACTAGGCTGACCTGCCTTTTAGTTGACTTGAGTTTGTTAGATTTATTGGGTCTGGCTTAGTTAGATTTAGGCTCATCAATTATATTTGACTGGCTCAATTCAAAAATAAAATATTTATTTTAGAGGCATAGTGGACCATTAATTTATTAGAAAAAAAAACTAGAACTAGTATTAAAATTTTTAAAAAATTTAGGGGAAACAAATATAATATATTAAATAGTTTCACGAGTCTTTATCCCCATGTGGCTCCACCCTGCTTACGGATACACCATGAGCATGTTTGTTTTAAGTATAAAATTTAGGTGGCATAAGGTTTTATATTCATTCTACTCTAATCTAATAGTATATTATATCCGGTGTTAAACTATAATTTCATCTTTCTCCTTATTTGTTTATCACAAATATTATCTGTGTAATATCTATTTAAAAAAATCAATAATTGCGGCTAACCAATGTAAAAGACAATTTTAACCTTTAAAAAGTCAAAAATTGTGGCTAGGCTTTTATATGAGAATTATATTGAGGGGCATTTCGGTCTTTTTAGTTTATAATACCTATACCAAGAATATAATATCACCCCCTAGGTGGTATTCATTAAGACCTTCTACAAGGCATTATGACTACTGTTTATAACGGGTCGGTATTATGACCCGAAAAATAGTATTGACTATAAAATGTCAAACAAACAACGTATAAGATAGGTCTCACGTACTATTTTCCTAATACCACCTCCTTATACCACTCTAATACTCAAAACAAACGCCCCATAAGTAAAGTTCAAGCAATAAAACCTGGTCCAAAATCGTAGAGTTTTGAATATTTCTATAAATATTCCAACATCATCCTCTTCCATCTCAAGAAGTGAAAACACTACAAATATAATTGAAAAAACTAATTCTATGAGGTAAAATTTTATGCAATAATAATTTTTCTTACTTTGTGAATGAATCTTCAGTATAATGGGCCCACCTTTGATTTATCCCATCCATAATGCTGCATGAAAGACTTATGTGCAAAGTCCCTTGCAACTTAATTCTCATATCCCGTTAAAATAAGAGCACAATTTTTTTTTTTTCTAATTTCCATAATTCATGTAATCAAAAATGAATTAGGAGTGAGAGCATGTGTGTATACATGTATACTTCTAGGCACAAACATAGCAAGCACGGTGACAAGGAGGAATGAAGAAGCAATTTCTTTTCTCCTCATAGCATACCCTGCAAATTGTTTCATCATATACATGTGTTTGTTGAAATTATATTGCAAATTTCGGACTCTATGTCGATCTTCTTCACCTATTCATTCCATATGTCACTGAAGTTGTCTCTTTTAAAAAAAGTAGGAGGTAATTAGTTTTTGTTGATGTCGCAAGTAAATTTAGGGAATTTCTTAAATTGGTCTCAGGCTTGGATGTTTATAACAGACTTTCAAAATCAAAGATTTTTGAGGTTAAGGTGGCATTTCTCCAACTGACTGGCCATCTGGGAGGATAAAATAACTTCGGCAACTCTACAATGCACTTGTGCTGGGTGATGACAAAGACACAGAAAAGTTCTCTGCTAAATCCAGGATGTTTGTAGAGTCTTGAGTCTTTTAACAATCTCCTAATTTTTCACACCAGAAACCCGTTAAAAACCGAAACACATTTCGTTCATTANTTTTTCACACCAGAAACCCGTTAAAAACCGAAACACATTTCGTTCATTACATAATAATAGGGAAATAATGTGAAATTAACACAACAAGTTTAATTGTTTTGTGAAAGTTTTAGGGTATCAAGCTAACCTAACTAACTTAAAAGCAAGCTATTGCATTGTTCTGGGGGCTAATTCAGTTAGCATTCTTTTGTCCATTGTTTGGGTTTATTTTAGTTTGACCCGAGTATAATTGTAAATGGAGTTTGGTTGTCTTGTCATCATTTTGGGTTTCTTTTTGTTGTTGGACGTTGTGGTACATTTTTCAATCCAATTTAATACGAATACCTTGTTGTAAAAATAAAAAATAAGAAAACAAAATTATAATTCAAAATAGTTCACGTATACACTAACTAGTTAAGGTTATTATAGATAATCAAAAAAATTTTATTTTTATTAATATTTTATAGTAGTATAGATATATATATTTTCGTTTTTTAGGACTCAAAAAAAAACTTGAAATTGCAGAAAACGACGTCGTCTACTGATTACGCCCAAACCTAACCTCCTCCGGCGATCTGCAGATCACTNAAAACTTGAAATTGCAGAAAACGACGTCGTCTACTGATTACGCCCAAACCTAACCTCCTCCGGCGATCTGCAGATCACTCTCGCTGATTCTGAAAATCATCTGGAAGTCCAACTATTCGAGTATAACAATGGTGACTCTGATTCGTAAATTTCTCTCTCTTCACTCTTCAACAATAAGGTGTGTTTCTTCACCCCCTCTCTATTTTAATCTACCAAACCCAACTCCACTTCACTCTCGACCATTCACTTCCCAATCCTCACCCCAAGACCAAGACGTTGAAACTGTGTTTCGCATTGTAAGCACCAGTTCAACCTCAAAAGACTTGACGCAATCACTAAAATCAAGTGGAGTCTTTCTTTCAAATGACTTGATAGACAAAGTCTTGAAAAGGGTAAGATTTAGTCACTCAAACCCATTACGAGCACTGGAATTCTTCAATCTAACATCGAAACGAAGAGGGTTTTACCACACTCCGTTTTCTTTGGACACAATGCTGTATATTTTGGGTAGAAATCGTAAATTTGATCTCATATGGGAGGTTTTATTGGAAACGAAAAGAAAAGATCGGTCTTTGATATCAACCAGAACGGTTATGGTAGTTCTAGGTAGAATTGCTAAGGTTTGTTCGGTGAGACAGACTGTGGAATCGTTTAGACGCTTTAAAAGGCTTGTTCTGGAGTTTGATACTACTTGTTATAATGCATTGTTGAGGACATTGTGTCAAGAAAAGAGTATGAGAGATGCCAGGAATGTTTATCATAGTCTGAAGCCTGAGTTTAGGCCTGATTTGCAAACTTTTAACATACTGTTATCTGGGTGGAAGTCAAGTGAGGAAGCTGATGGGTTTTTTGAGGAGATGAGGCAAATGGGTATCAAACCAGATATTGTCTCGTACAATTGTTTGATTGATGTGTACTGTAAGGGTAGAGAGGTTGATAAGGCCTATAAAGTAGTTGAGAAAATGAAGGAGGAGGATATATCGCCGGATGTGATTTCATATACGAGTATCATTGGGGGATTGGGGTTGGTCGGGCAGCCAGATAAAGCTAGAGAGGTTTTAAAGGAGATGAAGGAATATGGGTGTTATCCAGATGTTGCAGCATATAATGCTGCTATTAGGAATTTTTGCATTGCAAAGAGGCTTGGTGACGCTTACAAGCTGATGGATGAAATGGTAGGCATGGTTTTGAGCCCAAATGCAACTACTTATAATGTGTTCTTTAGGTCATTTTATTGGTGCAATGATTTGAGAAGCTCGTGGAGTTTGTATCAGAGGATGAGGGAAACTGGGTGTTTGCCAAACACACAGTCTTGCATGTTTCTGATAAGGTTGATTAGGAGGCAGGAAAAAGTGGAGTTGGCGCTTGAGATTTGGAATGATATGGTGGAGAAGGGGTTTGGATCATATATTTTGGTGTCTGATGTGTTGTTTGGTTTGCTTTGTGATATGGGAAAGTTGGCCGAAGCAGAGAGGTGTTTCCTGCAGATGATAGAGAAGGGGCATAGGCCAAGCAATGTATCATTTAGAAGAATCAAGGTGCTCATGGAATTGGCTAATAAGCACGATGCACTTCAGAATTTGTCAGAGAAGACGGATCATTTCGGTTCATCAATCCTAACTCCTAAAAATGAAGAGACTATGGCAATGTCAAGTTCAGAGTTGATTCCATGCTAAATCTAGTCTGAAAAACGAATCTAACCTAAAACCCAAAATCTATGGAAAGAATTTCAAATAGCACCCTATGAACTGGTAGGATCGTATTAGAAGGCCAGCATGCCATATGAAATGGATAAAGATTCAGGTTCCTTAGGAATCGATTCTCTTTTCCTACTATTCATCTGGTAAGAGAGCATAAATCAAATTTGTTCTAATGTTTATGAAACTTCCCGTTAATTTCGCAAATATCTAGATTGTGGAAATTTCTTTGAAACTTAAAGGTGGTTCTTGAGGTAATTTCCAGTTGAGAATCCAGACTGCTTCGCCATCAAATGGTCTGCTTGAGAACTCATATTATAAGGTACACTATCTCTAGCATCACTTTTTTAGATTCCTTCCATCTTCTTGAAGACTTCAGCATTGGCAATTTACCAAGTATTTGTGGTTGAGATTTGTTGATGCATATCAAGAAGAGGCCGGCCTTTTACATTGTGATTGGGGTGGGGGCATTGTACCAAATGACTTTCCTAGTCAGATTTTAATACTTTTTAAGTATTTTATAAGCACTTTTGCTTGATTAAATGTGACCCATGNTCTTCTTGAAGACTTCAGCATTGGCAATTTACCAAGTATTTGTGGTTGAGATTTGTTGATGCATATCAAGAAGAGGCCGGCCTTTTACATTGTGATTGGGGTGGGGGCATTGTACCAAATGACTTTCCTAGTCAGATTTTAATACTTTTTAAGTATTTTATAAGCACTTTTGCTTGATTAAATGTGACCCATGGCATGATGTATTCATTGAAGGGTACTTTTTCATTTTCTGCAACAATATTGTTCTACAACAATATTGTTCTGATTAACAATGACATGATAGTGTAACTACAATGTATNTGGCATGATGTATTCATTGAAGGGTACTTTTTCATTTTCTGCAACAATATTGTTCTGATTAACAATGACATGATAGTGTAACTACAATGTGTTGAAGAAAGATGTAAGATGGCGGCATTGTATTTCTGTGCAATCATCTTATATATGCTTCTTGTGCCACTTTCGATAGTAAATGAAGATGTACAAAAAGATTTTGCAAACTGCTGCCCCCTAACCCCAAAACACACTACTGCTGCAAAAGATGGGAGACTGAAAGCCCACTTACAGTTCTCTGTAATCTCTGTTGTCTAAACTCTAATTGAGATAATCTATTTCTTGTCCCTCCAGATTTAATTGGAGTGGCAACTATGAATATATTCTTTGCAGTTTACAGGACGCCACAATCAATAAGCCAAGTGTTAACATGCAATTTCGCGACAAAGTTGTCATCAAAGACTTCCCTTGGAATTTTCTTATGTGCCGAGTCTGCTGACCCGTAAAAGGAAACAGACCCAACAAATTGTGGGCACCAAGCAGTGACACGGGAGATGTTGGTATCGTGTGCATATGTCATCATTTGACTTATACTGTAAAAACAGTGCAACGTTGCAGGACTCCGTTAAAGGACATGGGGAGGCTTCTCAAAAATCTGCTGGTGGAAAGTATGTTCAGAAAGCCACGAATTCCATGGCAAAAATAATGAATTCTTGTTTATTCTGGAAGGTGTGGATGTAGGTGCCGTTTGGTAATGTGTGTTTATGTTTCTTTTCGTTTTTATTTTCATTTTTTGCTGAAAATAAAAATGTGTTTGTTAAGTGTTTTTGTTTTTTTTAACCTACATTGTTTTGAAAACAAGGTCCAAATCTACAAATACCAAAAATGATGTTTTTGAAAATATCCAAAACTAAAAACACGCCAGTATCCTAATAACAATTAATGAGATTCAACTTTCAAATCTCATTAGCAGCAAAATGACGCTTTTATTTTTTTTGCCAATTACAAAAAGGTATTTTCGTTTTTTTTTTGGGCCTCTCTCTTGTTCCTCTCTCTCTCTCTAGTTTCTCTCTTTTGAAATCGAGGTCAAAGACGAAATCTACATCATCTCTCTCGCTCGTTTTCCCATTTTTTCTTAATTTTATACCATATATACATAGATATTGATGGTTCAAGCCTAAGGTCCCAACTCATATTATAAGTCCAGTCTGAATTAACTGTCCAATTCCAAGAGATCTAGCAAATTTAACCCAAAGTGGTCCACGTTCGGTCAAACTCATCATATTCGAGGAGCTACATCAGCAAGGAGCATGTTGGGTCTTCCAAGAGTACCTTGGAAAGAGTCAATCCTCGCCTCATCCTTTGACTAAATCTCATGGAGAGCACTGTAACTATCTTGCCTGTTGAGAAGAAGTCGTCAACTTCACCAGATTAACTATTTAGTTACTATTAAATCGCCTCAATCTATTAGGAGGCAACTATAAATTTTAACCTCTGCCAACACTTGGGGGACATCACACTCTATTGAGCACAACTCTCCTCTCCCTCTCAAAGCTTGTAATTTTCTGCTCTCTCTACACACTTGAAGTAACAAAATATTCAACGACCGTAGTCATTTAAAGTGGACGTAAGTCACGTTGACCGAAACACTATAAATCTTGTCTTCTCCATCTCTCACTTATTAATTACTGCATTTATTACTGCTCATATGATAGGTGGTGTAAAAACTCAATTTGTACATCATCATATTTATATATATATATATATATATATATATATATATAGAGAGAGAGAGAGAGAGAGGCATAGATCTACATGTGTGTGTGCGCGCGTCTATACATGTGTGTGTGTGTGTTGTATATATAGATCTGTGTGTCTATATATATGTGTGTGTGTCTATATAAATCTATGTGTGCATATGTATATGTATGTCTCTGTGTATTTGTGTGTTTCAGCTAGAGGATCTCGCATGTGAGTTTGTGTTCTTGTTGACATCTCCAAGTTTTATTTGATCACAAGGAACATCTCTAATTGAGAGATCACCAATTGAGGTATTTATAATTAAAATATTAACCAAACTAATATCAATAAAATATGAGCTAAAATATATAATACCAAACATATTTTTTATTTTTGTTTTTATAATTTTTTAAATGTAAATGACTAAATGATTATCAAATATGTTTTATATTTTTTATTTTTATCACCAAAAAAATAAAAATTATTTCTTTTTTTTTTATAAAAAAATATAAAAATAAAAACATTACCAAACGCACTATTAATTATTCTATTTTTAGTTATGTTAACAATTATAATACGCCCCTTGAGTCATATTCAAGTATCAAAATTTCGTTTCGAAAACGGTTGAAACATCCAAAATGTTTCTGCTTTTAAGGAGATCGAAACGAATCAGTAATGAAAACGAAATTCTAATATTTCGAGATATTTCATTATGTTTCGAGATGTTTTGTAATATTTTAATGCATTTGTACAATTATTTTAGAATGTTTTGAGATATTTTAAGATATTTTAATATATTTCAATCAATGTTTTAAAAAAATAATTCTTAATTTTTTTATTTTTTTTCATTATATTTCGAAACTAATCGAAAAGTTTTCAAAATACATCAAAACGTTTATGTTCTCTAGGTGACCGAAATAAAATTTTGATCCTTATACATACTTGGGTCTCTAAATTTTTAACTTAATTTTAAATAGTTCAACCACCAACTCTCACTGAAATAGTTTATAAGAAGGCACATTGAATACTTCAATGATGACCGTCAAATTTCCACTCTCANACTTAATTTTAAATAGTTCAACCACCAACTCTCACTGAAATAGTTTATAAGAAGGCACATTGAATACTTCAATGATGACCGTCAAATTTCCACTCTCATCAATTATTTGGATGAAAGCTAAGGATTAGACTTGATAAAAACCAACCATAAAACAGAGCACGTAACTAAAAAATTTAGGGACCACCCTCTGCATTATCTGAAAACTTCACCAACACTCCATGTAAGTGCGTGTTGATTAATAAAGTTGATAAAAAAAAATGTTATTTTATCAAATTATCAAAGACATATTTTAAATATACAAAAATTTAATCAACGTTCTCTGCATAATACTATATTCTCACGGACACCCCTGTGTTATCTAGAATTTCACCTAACCCCCTTCCCTGTAGCATAGTTTTTAATATGAGATGGGATACGTGACTATCAAAATTTTCAAGAACATGAACCCCATTGACAACAAAATCANTGTAGCATAGTTTTTAATATGAGATGGGATACGTGACTATCAAAATTTTCAAGAACATGAACCCCATTGACAACAAAATCATCTTCACCTCTTGAGAAGTGTTTTAAATGATTCATATGACATACCAATTGATCAACTTTTAATCCAAATTTGAATTTAAATTTAATTAATTAAATATGGATTAATTTTTGATTGATTATTCAAATTCAAATTTGATGCCATTATGTAATATTTCATGAATTTGGACAAAAAATTATTAATATATAATTTGATTATGATCTTGCAAAAAAATTATCATGATGACATTTAATGGTCACTAGTTATTGAACATGTGTGTTGCATGTTAACTATTTTAAGCTATTTTTTATGTTTTTGTTGCTTATTTTTTGCAATATGGATTGTGAGTTTTCGTTTTTTGTTGTGTAAATTCATGTTAAAATACAAACATTATTATGTTAATAGTGAAAATTCAAGACTAATTAAACTCGACGAAACAATTGAATAGATGCAAAACTATAGTTTTGCCTGTAACTTGTAGCTTCTAAAGCATAAAGTATATGAGAAATCTTTTTCATTCCATTTTCGTACATTTTCTTGTTGAAATTTTAAGTTAACCAGTATTTGTTGCACCTAGCATTTGTAAAATCTCATTGGTGGGATTGACGCATTGGTGTCCATGAGTGAAGAAAAATTAGGGGGCGAGTTAAGAGGTCAATCCTAGCTATAAATTTTCAACTCTAACCCGAGGTATTCAACCTGAGTATTGCTCAAGTTGAATTTGAATGAGCTCATGTTGAATTCAGGTTTATTTCTCGGGTTGAGTTTATTTAGACTTGAAATCATACTGTTATTTTAAATTTAATACATACTACAAAGTATTCACATGAAGTAATAACCAAAACTTCAATCAAATGTTTAACATAAAGACCATAGTATATAAAGCATACAAAAATATATTGGACAAAACCAAATTACACTTTTTCTCAGCCATAAAAACACATATAATAGTTAAATTAACATAATAGCCAAATTAACATAAAAAAAAAAAACTTATTGAACTCAATATTTAATCATAATATTCGGGTTGAACCTAATTTAATATTTCAATTGAACCCGGTAACTCGAGATCTCAACCTAAGTATTGGTCGAATTTAATTCGGGTTGATATTTTTCAATACAAGCATAACACAAATATTAAAAATCTCAACCCAAACCCTATTTTTTTTGAGTTGGGTTCGGATTAGCTTGCCCATAAGAAAAATATGACAACATTCTATATCATGAATAATGAGTTGTAATGTACCACGAAAGAGTAGTAGCATTTATTTAGATTGGGTTGTTAGTAATTCATGTTTGAGAAGATTAACAGAGGTTATTTTACAAGAAACAATTCTTATTTATTCTAATGTCAAGAAAATATTCTATTATAACATAGAAACTTATGATATGTCATAAGTTCAATATGGACAATTAATAGGCATGCAAATATATTTCCCATAAAATTGAATAGGTAATTTTCAGCTTTCAATGGTATTGGAACCTTCCCGATGGTATTTATGTGGGTTTTAGTTTGACAAAAAGGATTTTTTGGTCATTGGTTAGTAATATTTGAAAACTAGTTATTGTCTGTGTCTGAAGACACAGAGTAATAAAAAATGGTAAATAATAAATATATTTGTATTTATATCCAAAATTAAATCGCAAACATAGAAAAAAGATAAAAAAATTTAAACATTGATTTGTAGTAGGGGGTGGTAGATAATGGGCGATAGTGGTGGTGGTAGTGGCGAAGGCGACGATGATGGTGGTGGTNCATAGAAAAAAGATAAAAAAATTTAAACATTGATTTGTAGTAGGGGGTGGTAGATAATGGGCGATAGTGGTGGTGGTAGTGGCGAAGGCGACGATGATGGTGGTGGTGGTTGTGGCAGCGGTAGGGGTGGGGGTGGTGGCGGCAGTGGTGGTGGTGGCGATGGCGATGGCGATGACAGTGGCGGTGGTGGTGGTGGCGATGACGATGACAGTGGCGGTGGTGATGGTGGGGAGGCGACGACGATGGTGGTGGTGGTGACGACGGTGGCGATGAAGGTGGAGGTTGAGGTGGCGGTGGTGGGACAGTTCAAAACAATTTTTTTTTTAAAGTACTTATGAGAATTAATTTCTAGAAACACTTTTAAAAAAATTATTCAAAACACACTCTTAAAGGCCTATTTTTTCCTATTAAATTTAGAGTTTTAATATTAACCGTTAGATTAACTTTAAATTGATCTGAACCACGAATAGTAAAAGTCATTTTATTTATCTTTTGAAATTTGAATTGTAAGCTACTTTATTATATAGACGTATACTCATTTAGTAAAATTAACATTTTAGAGGGTTAGGGATAGAGGAGGCTAATGCTTTAAACAGTTTGGTTTATGTGTTATTGACTCTTTAGATTTATAAATGCAATTCAAAATTTGTGTTGATTATTAATTTTCTTGTATTTTCTAATTATTTAGAATTTCTAATAATGACAATCACTATCGAAATAACAATCACATTTTTGTTAAATGTTATACGCTTGTGATTATTCTGATTTGATCCATGCTAAGAATTAAATGTTTATGCTTGATATTTATTGGAGGTATGGGTAAAAAAGCCATTCAAGTCAACTTTTTAATGTATCAGTAGTGGAGGCTAACGATTAGGGGTGTCAATAAAATTTAGGGGTGTTGGTGAAATTTCAAACAATTTGAGGGGTGTCCGTAAAGATATAACATTATGCAAGGGGCGTAAATGAAAGCTTCCCAAAATTTGTGTGTCAAAGTTGGATGAATTTATAATAGCAACTGAAATTGGAGGGGCGCTTTTGAACCAAAAAAAAAAAACAAAAAAAAAAAGAAAAGGGGTATTGCTATGGTGCGCGGTAGTACACTCCGTTTAAACTTCGCACCCTCAAAGTTCCTTCTGCATCTGTAGCACCTTACTGCCCTCTCTCTCTCTCTCTCTCTCTCTCTCTCTCCCTCCATTCAGCGCATGAAGTCCATCAGCATCTCCATTTGGTGAGTTTGTCGTACTCATTTTCTTTTTTCTGAAAAAAGAGCTCCAATTGAACAGAAAATTTTCCAATTCATAAAGCCCTAGCATCAATTTTGAAGGTTCACCCTCTCGCACTCGTTTATGTATGTTTTAGTGTATGTATAGTTAGGGTTGAGTCCAAATTGATTCTCTCCTTACTCTCTTACACCCCACAGTCTCACATACTAACACTCGCGATCTGTGAATAGTGATGAAGTTGTAGGACTTAGTTGAAGTAAGGAAATGAACTGAAATAGCGTTTTTTTGCTCTGATTCGAAACCCTAACCCACGTTCTTCCTTGGGTTTCAGCATATTGTTCTTGCGAAATTGGGAGTGAGAGCAACAGTTTTTTTTTTAAATAAACTTTGAACAATCAAAATTGTGCTTGTATTTCGAGAACTCTTGAAATTTATTGGGTTTTTGTTTATTGACTTAATTTGGAGATAGTTTTGAGCTAGGCTTTATATATTATATTCCCTGATGATGTTTTTTCCTCTGCAAATTTTACAGAATTGAAGCAGTAGGAGTCTTGGGTCTTCGAGATGTACATAAAACAGGTAATTGGACTATTAGTTTTATACTTTATATTCGCTTTTGATTTTGTGGGTACTTTAACCATTCTGTTTTTGGTTGTTGTACGTGGGATTTTGGTAATAGGTTATAATTGAAGGGTTTAAGAGTTACAGAGAGCAAATTGCTACGGAACCTTTCAGTGCAAAAGTTAGCTGTGTCGGTAACGATGTTCTTCCTTTAATTTTTTATTTCACTTAAGATGTGACTCTACTATGTGGGTTGAATTTCTTCACTACATTGGTAAGTTTGTACTATGTGTTTTACATCTGGATATCACTGTTTGGTCTAAAAATCAAAAGAAGCATTGTTCCATGAAGATATACTAGATTTAGGTTTGCAATGTTTCTTGGAAATATTATAAATCCATTATCAAGTTTGATTGGCATAATGGAACATAAATATAAATCTAATGAACATGTATGGAATATGGAATTGCGATGGGGTCCAAAATCCTTGGTAAATATAGCACAAGTGAAATTGTTAAATGTGCCCTTATGTGGGCAGCTAAATCAAAGTGTGTTCAAGATGTTATTCTCGAAAAAATTGGTTCTCTAATAAAATGGTGAACCTTGTTTCATCATTGAAGTTTTGAGTTTCCATGAACTTCATTTATGTGGTGAAGCAACGAATGTAATTATATTTAGTCCTGGTTAAAGATCCACCTCATTTTTCTTGCTGGACAACATTCTTAATGTGGCTGATTCTCTTGGTACGCAAGGAATTTGACAATGTTGAATCTGCAGGAACTCTGCTATATTTATTTCCTCACTTTATTCCCATTGATTTTCTATCCTCACACATCTATTTAAAACATTTGGATTCTTGAAGTGGTAAGTAGTAGTGTGTATTCTTGAATTTGTTGTTGATTCTTTCAAATAAGTTGTGTTATAATATACCTTGCAGTTGGTGCTAATGGATCTGGCAAATCAAACTTTTTCCACGGTATGCGAGTCTCTACCGAATGAGAATTTCACTGTCCTTTCTTGTTGCTTCCAGGGGACTAATTGAAACTTTATTGCTGCTTCCTTCTCTTTTCTTGTTGTCTATCTTAGCTATCCGTTTCGTAATAAGCGACCTCTTTCATAACCTGCGCAGTGAAGAAAGACACGCTTTGCTCCATGTATGTTCTACAATAAAATAGGTTTCTAGCTATTATACGTAGTAGTTATTCTAAATCATTGGCATAATTCATAGTTTAACATGTGTTTGAATACTTTCAGGAAGGAGCAGGACATCAAGTGTTATCTGCCTTTGTGGAGATTGTGTTTGATAACTCTGACAATCGTATCCCGGTAATCTTGACGGTTTATTTATCTTTGTATGTACAATTTTGTAAAATTTATTTATTTTTGACAGTGAATCCAAAATGATTAGCTGTTCGCATAAATATTTCCATTAAATACACTTGTTTTTTTTAGTTTATATCTGACCCCCAAGTTTCCTAAAATACAAACTGTAGCATATCCTAAAAGTGGCCCTTGGTGCACTGGACGTGTTCTCATTTCTGTCCCCTGGGTGCCCCATTGTGTTCAACTCAACTCAACAAAGCTTTTATCCCAGCTATTTGAGGTTCAAATGTGTTCGAATTACTGAAAACAAGAGGAAGTAAAAACTGGACTCTTTCTCGCGTGTCTGTACGTGTCTGCATCCCAAACATGTCAAACTGATATGCTGGCCAGGGAGGTGCATCCGTGCTCACTTGATATGCCACATGGTTTAATATTACTATATGGCATGTGTTTTTCCATCCTCTGTGGAAGAATATCTTCTGTACCCTGAGTAGGGAATTAGATTTAGTATTCATGGATTCACACCAGTGAAGGCTGAAGCACCCTTGGTTGGGTCCAGTAACAGGAATAGGGTACAAAATTAAGGTCGTTTTATTGGGACACTTTCTTTTATTTGTTCCCCTCCCCCAACAAGAAGATTAAACATGGTATTAAATGTTACTGCATTAGATGGGTCCTAATGAGAATTTAGTTATTTTGCCACACTATAAGATTGGCTCACTTTTATTTGAAATTTTTGCTTTGCTTGAATTTGTTTGTTCTTTCTCTTTCATGCACAGTAACAATGACATATTGTAGCAAGCCTTCTGTTATTAGATCATCCTTTCTGTTTAGCTGTTTTTAACATTCTTATCTGTCCTTGACAGGTTGATAAGGAGGAAGTTCGTTTGCGGAGAACAATTGGCCTTAAAAAGGATGAGTATTTCCTGGATGGAAAGCACATCACGTGAGTACTGAGATCATGCCTCGGATTGTGATTTGTTTATGATTTCTTGTTTCTTATCTTTTCCCTTGGATTAGTAGTGGCTTGAAGACATAATTTAATTGGCATTTTGCAGGAAAACAGAAGTTATGAATTTACTGGAAAGTGCTGGGTTTTCTCGCTCCAATCCTTACTATGTTGTGCAGCAGGGGAAAGTATGTTGCTTTTGCTTTTCTGATTTTTTCGTTTATGGTGTTGAACTCTGTCTCTTACTGATGGAATATTCCACAGATAGCTTCACTGACATTGATGAAGGATTCAGAACGATTGGATCTGCTTAAAGAAATTGGCGGGACACGAGTTTATGAGGAGAGACGTCGTGAAAGTTTGAAAATTATGCAAGAAACAGGCTAGTATCAGTTGAGTTTTGTTGCTTCTTGCATATTGTATGTGCTTTGTTTCTGATTGCTTTTTTGTTAATCAGGTAATAAGAGAAAGCAAATCATTCAAGTTGTGCAATACTTGGATGAGAGATTGAGAGAACTGGATGAAGAGAAGGAGGAACTGAAAAAATATCAGATGCTTGACAAGCAGCGTAAATCTCTTGAATACACCATTTATGACAAAGAACTTCATGATGCACGGCAGAAATTAATGGAGGTCAGTTATGTTAAGTGCTTATGAGTTTGAACCAATTTGTGCTTTCAGGTGCTCTCTGATGTTGTATTCCTACTAGACTTCAGTTTTTCAGCTACTATCTTGGTTTGCATGCTTGCTTGCTTTTGACTAGATCTATCACTGTAAACCGAATATTAGCAGCTTTGTGAATGCACGAAGGGGAAAAAAAAGGTGATAAGACATATGCTGATTTAAAAAAATGTGATAGGACATCTGACAGAAGTATTTGGTGTCATGTTTCTATTTCTGTTTCCTTGGTTTTTTTTTTTTTTTGGGGTTTCAATTTTGAGTAGATCATGAATTTTTTCTTTTATGAATTTTTTTTTTGAAGTCATGCTGGTAGAAATATAAGTAAGTCTGTGTTTTTGCCTGGCAAACTGACTATGCTGCTATTCTTCAAATGCCTCCACCCTCAAAACATCATTTGCCCCCTTTTTTTATTGGAAAAAAGGTGTTTTAGGATGGGGGGTAGGTTTAGAAAGACTCAAACACGACAATTTCCTTTATAATTTTTTCTTTCATCACCAAAAAAAAAGACACTCGGACAAGAAACTTTTTTTTTTCTTATAAAGAATGAAAATATCATTGATCAAAAAATGTGTAAATAGTACAAAATCAGTCAACGGTGGACAAGTTGTCCAAAACCAATGGCTGATCAAGAAAAACACTGAAAAAAATCAGAACAACACTCCACATGAAGCTGTCGATCCCATAAACCTTCCATTTCCTCCCTTTTATCTTAAAAAAATTCTTGCATTCCTTTCTAACCAAACAACTCATATGGCGGAAAAAACAAAAGGAAAACTCCAAAGAATCCTCCATCTTTTATTGCTTCCTCCACCCATAACATCCAAACAAAACATAGATGAAAAAGTACTTGGTCTCACCCAACTAATTCCCACATGATAAAACAATTTATCCTATAGTGAAAGTAGATAAAACAATTTATCCTACAGTGAAAGTAGATAAAACAATTTATCCTACAGTGAAAGTATAATGGTACAATGTAGGAAAAGATGACCCACACTCTCACTATCACCTTTGTACATAATACACCAATGTGGTGAAAATCAAATCGTGGGTCTTCTTCTTTGACACCATATGTGTTAATCTTACCATGAACAATTGACTCGGACAAGAAACTGTAGTAGAGCAAATCATAGCTAGGAAATATTTGGGAAAAAAAAGATATCTATAATTTGGATCTTATTCTTAATTTTTTGTTTTTTTCACTCTTTCTTGGTGGATTTTTTTTGTGAAATCCAGATATCATTAAATTCTTGTCACATGGCTGAGAACTTTGCGAAGGGTTTGATGTTGATAAAATTGTGATGTTACATTGTAAAGCTGTGCGCTTAATTCTTTAATTATAGATCACAGAAACCATAATAGGAGTGAATGTAGAAGCATCGTTTATGGGTTTGAAGGTTTGAGAAGCAATTTGATAGAATGAAGATTTGGTGGATATTTTTGTGGAGTGATATACAATGATTAAACCTAAAAGTTTGAAGACTGAACTAAAAAGCATAAAAATACTCTCTTATGAAGAATTATGCTAAATTTTTTTAATAAATTGGTTTTACTTTCAGAGGAGATGCTAGAATTTTTTATAGAACTGGTCTTTGATGGTGCTTTGCTATAAGCTATCATATGGGATATGTTGTTAATCTAAACTCACATCATACGTTCAACTAATATTTTTGGTGATAATAAACTCAGATTAGGTAGCTAACATCACCATATAAGTGTATCTATAAGAAATTTGCACTATTATCGTATTCCATAACATAATAAATTTGTGCTATTGTAAAATATAATGAGTTTTACATAGTCTTGAGTTAGAAGTTGAGACTTGTAGTGATATGTGACCAGAAAAATAAGAAATAGATAATCAAAGAAAGAAATCAGGATAGAAGAAATAGATCTTGAGGAGAAAGATAGAAAGCGGCATAGAGAAAGAAGAAGAATAATAGAGGCTGAGAGACCAAAAAGTTAGAGAAGATTTCCCATGTTTGCAATATTGAATCCATTACTGAAGGCTTCTCTTTATAGGTTGCCCCCCCACGTCCTCTCTAAATAAAAAAAGTAACTGAACTAATAATTGTAGTAAATACGAACAATGTTGATAAAATAAAATAGCCCAAAATTAAATTTCTAAAATTAATGTTCAATCCAAGCTATCCACGCTTTGGAATTTGTTGTCAATTGTCCCCAGAGTGTTAGGCTTATGGTGTTGCTCCAAAAGATTGGGGCCTGATGATGAAGCATAACAGAAAAAACA